ACATGTTGTGGACAGAAAACACCATGGTGTCTGACTTCTGATGGAAATCAACCTTGCTGATTTTCCCAGAAGCTACCTACTAAACACCTGGCAGCACATCTACCATTCCTGCTGTGCTGAAGCTGACTGGAGCTGGTTTGTCCTACTCGATTATGAGCTTGGCAAGCCCAAGGTCCTTAAAAACACCAGGCAAACACCATCTTAAATCACAGAATTGTAAAATCCTAGGTTCTCCTGAGCTGGAAAGGATCCACAAGGAAAATCAAGTCCAAATCTTGGTCCTGCACAGGACATCCCCAAGAAGCACACCACACGCCTGATGTTGTCCAAATGCTTCTTGAATTCTGTCTGGCCTGGTGCTGTGCCTAGGGAGCCTGTTCCAGTACCTGGCCACCCTCTGGGTAAAGAACCTCTTCCTAATACCCAGCCTAACTCCCCATGACACTCTTCCATACTGTTCCCTCAGGTTCTGTCGCTGGTCACAGAGAGCAGCCACCAGTGCTGCCCCTCAAGAAGAAACTGAAGTCCACAATGCTCTCAGTATCCTTTTTTCCAGGCTGAACAAGCCGAGTGCCCTCAGCCACTACTCGCATGGCTTCCCCTCTACACCCTAATTCGAGTCACTTGTTGGTATTTACAAAACTTCCTGTGACTTTTCTGCTGATTAATTAATGATTGTACTGACTCCTCTTCCAGCTTAAGGAAAGTTTGGGTCTTTCAACCAGGCCAAATCCCTCCTCAGCACAGAGGAAGGACTTTCTCTGTGGCCTTATTCTCCTGAGGAGCTTCTTCCCACGGAGCTGAGGCACAGCCTCCTGCTTTGAAAGTTTTGCAGAGGTGAAGGGATCAGTTTCTGATAAGGTACAGGGAGAAGTTTTAGATGAGGAAAAGCGGGCAGTTTTGGCTGAGATGAAGGGGGAAGTTCCAGCTGAGCAGGGGCGTGCAGAGCAGGGACTGCCTGCCGTTGTCCGAATCTCGGGGCAGCATTAACACAGCAGCTTCCCTCACGCCGCTCCGCCGGGCGCGCACGTTGCCCTGAGGGGAGGGTGGGGCGCTGCCTCCGGCCCCCCGCCGCCGCCCGCCCCTCGGCGGCACGTGACGCGCTGACGCACGCACGCACAGGCGCGCGCCGGGTGACGCCGCGGGCCCCGCACGTTTGAAGTTGGCGCGCGACTCGCGCCCTCACTCCCCCCTATCCTCGCCCCGCCCCGCCCCGCCCGCCGCTCCCAGCCTGCCCCGCGCGGCCGCTTCCCCGCGCGCGCCGGCCCCCCCCGCCCTCTCTCTCCCCCCCCGCTCGGGCCGGCGGCCGCGGCAGAGCCGCGCTGGGTGGCGCGTGCGCACTGTGCCCCGCCCGCCGCCATTTTGTGTCCGAAAGCGACTGTGGAGCGATTAAACCGCGGGGCTGGTGCCGGGGCGCTTAAAGCGGCGGCGGCCGCGGCGGGGCGTGCGGGGCGCGGCGGCTCCTCCGCGGGGCCCGCGGGCGGCGCGGGGCGGCGGCGGGGCCCGGCGGCCGGAGGGAGCTCGGCGGGGCGCGGGGCGCAGGTAAGCGGCGGCGGCGGGGGGTTTGCAGTCGCGTTCTCCGGCCTCTAGGTGTCACGATGGGGCTCCGGCGCGGCTGGGGCCCCGCAGCGGCCGCCGCCGGGGCAGCAAGGGGGGCTTTGTCTCCCTCTACCGTCCCCGCGCCGCCGCCGCCGCCACCGCCGCCATTCCCCACAGCGCGGCGCTGGGCTGCGGCACCGCCCGGGCCGCCCGCCCTCCTTCCCTCCCCGGCCGCCGCCACCCGCCGGCCCCGACTCCATTTTCTTTCCTTTGTCTCCTCCACCGCGCCACCGGCGCTGATTAACCGCCCCATTACCGCCCCCTCCCCGCCGCGCCTGCCGCCCCCCCCTTCCCTTCCCGTCCCGCACGTCCCTTCCTTCCCCCCCTCCCCCGCCCCGCCGGGCCCGCTCCCCTCCCGCCCCGCCACCGCCCCCCCCCCTTTCTCGCCCCTCCCCGGGGCTCGCCCGGCGCCCTCCACCCGCCGCCCGTGTCCTGCCGCGGTGTCCGGCCGGGCGCTGCCCGCGGGGACGGCTGCGTGTCCCGCTCCCGCCGGCCGCCGCCTCGCTGCGCTGGCGTGTGCGGCGGAGTGAGAGGCGCTGCGAGGCGCAGAGCGGGACTCGAGCTCCCTCTGCAAGGCAGGCTGAGCAGCGCCATGCAGCAGCACCGGGGCGGGCACGGCTGGGGGGCGCCCGCTCTCGCCGCGGTGACCGGCCGGCAGCCCCCCCGCACCCCCCGCGCCGCTCCCGGAGAGCGGCGGCCTCGCCGTTCTGTGTCCACCCCCCCCTCCTCTGTCCCGTCCTCTCCACCCCACTTCGGGCCCGGGGTCCCCACGGGGCTTCAGGCTTCGATCGGGAGCACCTGGGCTGCCACCGAGCCGCCGACCAGCTGTGTCACTTGCTGGGACTTGGCTCGGCTGCCCGACTCGCGGGGCACCTCACCGGGAACCTCCCGGGCCTCCGCAGCAGGGTGCTTGCCCAGGGATGGAGCCCGAAATCTCATGGCAAGGGACGGCATTATTCCCTCCCTTCCATGGGTCTTTGCTGCTTGGGGGGGGGGGGGAAGCACAAAACACGATTCTTTTTGTGATGCAGAGGAGGAAACTGCACATGCTCTGTGTCCAAACGCTTTGCTGTTTGTTCTCTACATCAGCTTTAGATTTCTTTAGAATGTATGTTCATATGGTATCAGATTTGGCCTTGCGTTAACCTTGTAAAATGACTTCGATAGAAGGGTTTTGTCGTGTTGTATGGCTCCTCCGTTCAGTGTAATCCTTAGGGCTTGCCTTGCCTGTTGGTGAGAATGAGCTCTTTCCTGTTTGTGACTTCCTATTTTTGTGCCGAGCCTTTCTCCCCTTGAATACGTGCATGGCTGTTCCTCATCTCTGGCCAGTTACTGAATTCTGGTAATAAACTCCAGAGGTTTTTCGAACTCCATTAGAAGCATCTAAAACACTGTTTACCACTTCCATTGTACGTGTTTTTATTTCAGTGCAGGAAGTGTGTAAATATCATCTCAAATTCTCCAGTTTATTCATCCTCTGCAGAGCCTGTTGAATTTGCAGGAGCCTGGTGAACATAAGAAATAATTCTGTGCTATATTCAAGCTCTTCTTACTTAAACAATTTCCCTAACACTTTCCTTCAGTGTAAGAGACAGAACTGAAGAAAGGTGCAATTTTAGTATAAGGGCAAAGCAATTCTTGCTGCCTTTTTCTTTTCTAGGTTGATGAATTTTTACTTCCATTTTGTTTTTCTTCTGGATGTGTAGGGCTTGCTCAGTTTCAGTGTCATCTGCTTTGCATGAATTGTTATTAGGATGCACAGAAAGGCTCAGACTTTGTGGGGTATTTTTGATGAGTAATATCTGAGCAAAAGGTGCAAAACTTGAGTTCCTGTAGCTTCCAGTGTCCCTGCAACTGAAATAATACATCAAGGCTCATCTATTTCGGACAGAGCTTGGAGAACTGTCACAACAGCATTAAGTTTGCTGGTGACTCGTGCATGCGGTGTTACTGAGGGAAGGAGCTATTTCAAGAGCTGTTTTCCTGTGAGCAGGGTGGATCTTGACTATGATCCATAGCTAATTTGTGTGTATCCTCACCAGCTCTTGGGGCTGCAGGTTGATACCCGCCTGCTGAGCTCCCAGTGCTGTCTTGAAATGCCAGAAGCTGACCCATGTTATTCTTGACTTTATTTAGCATTTACCTGAAAAATCTAATTATATGGGATTACTAACTTGTTAAGGAATTTCTGTGCACAGTCTACTCCAGAATTTAATTTCATCTTCTCCCCTTAGGACTTTGTGTCCAAGAACTGCTTTTCTAGATTTCTGGAAGTTGGATGTTGAGTATTATTAGGCCTGTTCTTGGAGCAAAGCCAGCTTACTCCTTGCTCATACTTAAACAGGTTCCACTGACCTCTGGATAGCTCTCCCTGCTCTGTCCGAACAGTTTTTTGTACATTAGCTCTTTCAGCTTTATTATTGATTATATTTGCATAAAAACTCCCTAATTCTCCGTCCTGGCAACTTTAGCTTCTCCTATCTCTTTACCAGAGAGAGAATGCTCAAGGGAGTAATAAGCATTAGGATCCCAGATGTACTTGTTACGTGCTCTAGAAACACATGTAATAAGGAGCGACCACTGCTTTACCTGAACACGAGGACACACACTTGACAAGAGCTGAAAGAAACCAAAGCTTTGACTGCTTGTTTTGTTTGTGTTAACTTACTGAACTGTATGGATTTATTTGCTTAACTGTAAACCCCTGTTCATCCATTTGGCTTTAGTTCAGATGCCCAGTTCACTCTTTGTTGCACTAAACCTTGAAATGTCAATACAGTATCAAGCTCTGCTACTCTGTAACCTACATGGTCTTAGAGACACAGATCAAGGAAATTCACTTTAATCGGTTATATGTAGTGTTGATAACAATGGTTCAGATCATACATGGCATTTGTTCTTTCAGGATTTTTACTGAAACTTAGAAAGAATCTGTCCTGTCCTGACTGTAGCTGAAAATACTGGTTTTGGTTTTTTTTTTTGTGCTAAAGGATACTTGAATTTCATTTACAACACTCCGTTCTGCTGCTCCTCCCACTTTCCTCCAATAATTCATCAGTCTTTAGTAATTAAGTGAGGTATGCTTATCCCAGACACATTTAATATGAAAAGTAAAGAGTTGCTGCTCAGCTGAATGATCTGTTTTTCTCTGATTAACAAAAATAACATCAAAAAGAAGAGCAGAATAAACAGAAGGTGAGCAGGGAGTTTTATGTTTCAGATCATGTTAACATTCAAGTAACTGCACACAGAACAACTCAAGACTGGGTATCTAATGTAAATTAAAGCTAAAGTGAAGTTTTCCTCAGTATTATAAAAACTTGGAAGCTATAAAATCTTAATTTCCTTCCAATGTGGTTCTTAACAGGTGAAAAGAGAAGTAGTGCAGAGACAGCTCTCAAGAATGGCGCAGTTAACGTGCATTGACTTAGGGGACATCTCTGATAGAATGGACTCCCGAAGCATTATTCTCTAACTATCCTTACAGGTGAAGTTTTGAGTCATAGATAGAGTTGCATTTCTTATGTAAAGTTTTGTTTTTAGAGACCCACCCCCACCTCAGTTCAAGCCCTCCCACAGTTTACTGTCAGCTGCCTGAAGATTTCAGTGTAAGTATTTAAAAGCACGAGGGCTGTGATCAGTTAGGATATGCTGACCAGTGACACCAGCAAGGGCTTCTGTAATGGCAGCAGTGCAGCAAGCTGAACTACAGGGTATTTTTTATTCTCTCTGTCGTGCAAGTAGTCTGCCCAAATAGATATTGTTATGTCAGTCAGCTAGCAGCAGCATATTATTTTTCTGCTATAACTGCAAACTCATAAAATTTCTAAAGCTTCATGGGTTTCACTGGAAAGCTTTGCTCAAATGTAAAGATGGGGTTAAGTAAGTTCATCTTATACTGAAAGTCCTGTTCTGCATTTTTATTTTGCCATACTGTAAAAAAAATTCTGTGGACATCATTAAATTTGTCAAATTCTGGCAAAACAGAAGGCAAATCACAGATTGTTTGGCATGTGAATTGCACCCCTGTCTGTATTAATAATGCATCATCATTAGAAGCCTGTCTATGTCTCAAACATCTGCAGGTAAATTATATAAAAAAACCAAACACAAGCCAAAACTTAACACAAAACTGTTTAAAACCACCCCCCACCAGAGTACATTGGGAGGTGAGAGAGACATTTACCTTGGCATATTGGTATATTTTTCACCAGCAGGAATATTTTTAACTGCAGTATTGGAAGAGATATAGTCCATGCACGTTGGAATACTAGCGAAATTCCAGGAGGTCAGAAAAGTGCTGATATATCAGTAATAAAAGGAGGTGGAGTGGATGAACATGGCTATGCAGGGTGGGTGGCAGGTGCCCAAAACACCTTGGGTGTTTGACTAGCTCTGCATGGTGTTAACACACGTGTAGTTCACATTATTACCAGGTCTCCCACTTATTCTTAGTACAGAATTTAGTTAAAGTAGCGAAAGTGTTAATCACACTAACCTAAGGCTTTAAGAAAACAAGAGCTTGTTAAATTTATTACTTGACTTTGTTAAAGGATTTGGTCTTGATGACCTTACTGTATATTAATACTAGTACTGAGTATCAGTAAATGCCATTTAGCTCAGGATTAGTCTGGGGGTGTACAAGAGTGAATAGTTTCCATGGATATTCAGCAAAAACTAGTAATTGCTTGTCACAATTTGTTTTCATTAATCATTTTGTTGGTGAAAAATGTCTTTAAAAACTTGTTCATGATAAACTGGTTCATGGAAAAATCACTGGGCACTAAGGCTGCCACTGTGATTGTCAGGTGGGATTAGATCCAGTCCAGTGTGTGTGCTAAGGCTGCTACATGTAAAGCTGTGCACCTGGGAGCAAGGTGTTCCAGCTGAATTTAAATCAAGGCACATTGTCTCCTAGAAAGCAGTGATTGAAATTTGTTTTGGAGTCATAGTGAATAAACAGCATAAACATGAGTTTCCAAGGTGATGCTATGACAAAGAACCTAACGTAGTTCTTAAATGCATTAGTAGAATAAGCAGAGGTACGTTCTTGTCCATCTTGTGGGATGGGATGAAGTCATTCCCAAAATCCTACGTATGGTTTTGGCCTCAGCACTCAAAATCCTCCAAAAAATTACTGTGTGAAAAGGGATTAATCTCAAATTTGATGGAAAACTAAGCTGTATTGCCATGCAGTAAAATGTTAAATGTGTGCTGTGCAGCTTCTCATCAAAACTGAGGTGACTTGATGAGAGTCCTCAGATATGTCCCTGACAAAATAATACTGGATATTAGTGAGCTTGCTGTAATCTTGCTGCCAAACACAATACGAATTTGTAGCCCAGTAAGTTCAAATTAAACAGCTTAAGTTTTCACAGGGAGGATGATTAACTATTGGATTGATATGAAGAGTAGTCATGTATTTCTTAATTTCCTAACATCTTTGAATCAAGATTGTGGGAAAAAAAAAATCTGAAAATTGCTTCAGCCAGATGCAAGGTGCTGACCTTTCCTTGTATATTTAGAGAACTATCATTCATGAGAGGTCAGGCTAGGTGATAAACCAGAGGTGCTGAAGAAAAAGGATGGGGATAGCACCTCGTCTTCTCTTGAACCACCTTCCCTCTTTTTGAACAGAGGGAGGTTTAAGACTTTTCCTTTTCAATCAAGAATATGATCAAACCAGTAAAATCTTCTGAATGGGGGAAAATAAGCAGATATTGATATATATTGGAGACTTGTCAAATAGTGTCCTGTATGCTTGGTCCAGACTTGTGACTAAATACATCCTGATCTGAGCTGTGGCATTGGGGAGCTGTTGGAAAGATAAATGTTGCTTCTTTGCTGCCAGGACAAGCTGCTGGCTCCTGTCCAGCTCGCTGCCTACCAAGCAGCCCAAGGACCTTGGCAAGAGCCCTGCTGCCCAGACAGTCCTTGTATCAGCAGAGGAGTTCTTCCTTCCTGGTTCTAAGCATGGAAAATGCTGAGAGGGTGAAGCAAGGTGATTTTTATTGAATCCACTAAAGGAAACATAGCTCCATAAAATTTTGTGTTACATAAAATTATTTATTGACCCATTTTATATATTGCATTTGTGTATGTTGTATGGGAATATATTATCTGCAGTGATCCTAGTTTTAAACTGGATGCTGAGTAAAATACTGACTTAATCAGGAATTAAACTATGAAACATAAAGCTGTGGAAGAAGGAGTAAACAACACAGTAATTTTAAGCTATGTTAATGCCTCATGTGTGGAGACTTGACACAAGTGTTTGACACTTTCTGAGCTCTTCAGGATGTTACAGTGAATAGCTTGATGGTGGCCTAAGCATCTCTAGGTGGAGATTGCTGGAAGCTAAGTTTTTTTTTTCACATCTTGCTTAGTTAAAAGGTGGGAAGGGGATATGTAATCTTGAGAACTCAGAGCTACAGAGCAAACTTGCATATAATCCACGTGCACCTCTGTGTGGTAATTTCAACAGAGGCACATGATGCTTGAGATTGGCAATTCTGGTTTCTCCTGGCTATTTGTAAGAAGGTGAATGGTGTCACTCTGCTGCTGCCCCTGGAGTTCTTCACAGAAATCAGTCTCTGCCCAGTCTGGCTGCTGTGCTTCCTTGTGCTCACACAAGGCCAACTTTATGGGTAAATGCAGTGGGTTTTGTGGTGAGCCTATAGCTTGTAGGAGTAAAAAATGAGGTAAATATACCACAATTGATGGGAAACCTGTTTTGGTAAGAGACTGTGAAGGTACTGTAAGTTCAGAAGGGGATCTGCAGGTCCAAAGGCAAAGATCCCTAATCCTTTGACTGGGTGTTGGGATAAGGGTGGTAAACCACAGACATGATGGCTCTCCTTACACACTGTGTCCTGCTGGAGTTTTTGGAGACAGACTGCTGGACTAAATGGACAGTGATCTGTCCTTGCAGGAGTATTTTTTTATGCCCATGTTGGATAAAGGAAATTTTTTCCTTTTTTCCTAACCTAGCAATAAAAGCTATACAAAGACATTTACAATTCTTGCTGTTTGGGGAATAAGCACCAAAGCATTTAGGGAGATAAAAGTCAAGGCTTCCCTGGAAAATAATTGGCTTGCATCAGGATTGTTGACCCATCTCCTTCCACAGGTGTGCTGGCAGTTGCATCTCCCGGTGATGAAGTGGTCAGCAGAATTTGCTTCATGAGGGCAGTAGCATGTAATTGGATGTAGAAAAAATGCAGCCTCAAGTTTGATTTGGGCCTTCATGGAACCATGCCCCAAAAAATTTTGGGCTAAGTAAGGCTTTCTGCAAAGGAAGTCAAGAGCAGAAGTAGTAATAGCAGCATTTGGCTATTTGTAAACATTTTTTACTCTTTGGAAATGGAGCTGTAAACTTCCCTGTATGTTTGAAATTGTTGTCCAGGCAATTGAATTCTCCCATTGTTTAATGTTGTAATAGACATGATTTCTCTGGACAGGCTCCTGGAAGAGCCTTTCACTGCAGTAGAACCAGTAGTGATTTTTAGCCAATTACTTCAGCTTCTTGTATAGTTTTTCTGTCTCCTTGTATTTGATTTGCAAAGATCTTCCCTTGAAACCACTTCTGACATCCAGAGATTTAAAATGAAAGCAGGAAATGCTACTGAATTAAAAATACCCCCTGGTTTTGGTTGTATAATTCTATGACATAAATTAACAGTATTATATTTTAACCAGTAGCTTTCTCCTGTGTGCTAAATTGTTTGCAGTGGAAATGCAATCTAAACTTCAGTTTTGCTTTCCCAATATGTACTGCAAGAAAACCCCTTAGAGGCACTTGAGGAATTTCCAGATTACAGGTTGGAAAAAGATGACATTTTTGAAGGCTAGTAGTTTCAGTTCAAGCTTATCAGATTATTAAAACCTTTCTTCTTTTCTTTCTTTTTGGAGGATGGAAGAAGTTAGTGTTATCCAGCATTCCTGCTGAGTATATAACTTACTGCCACTTCTGATCTTTGAAGAGAGATTTATCGCTTCCTGTGGCAATACTGAATACTCAAAAGGTACTCATTGATTACTTGATCCTTGCCTACCTTCCATATTTATTAGTGCTCTTCTCTCCTTCCTGCCGAAGAGTGACTGCTGTTGACTCCTGCCTGCTCTGAGCTACCTGGAGTGTTACATGATCCCCAGACTACTTTATGCTTTGCTCCTGTAGTGTGTGTGTGTGGAAATAGTTCTGTCATGTTAAAGCAGCTGCACCCTCTCCTTGTCCTACCAACATTTTGACCTACATGAAGAATTTGTGAGCGTCCATGACAGTATGATGGAGGCAACTATCAAATATTTAGATGCCTGACATGACAATCTGTAATGTTTTTGTAGGCATCTGCTTTGAGTGGCTTGTGCAGACAAATCCTTAGGGATGCTTTTTCCATCTCCACTAGACTCAAAGGAGGGAGATAGCATTCAATGTTTGTCCTTGCTGTGTTATCAGTCTGGCTGTTCCTGGTTAGAAGTGCTTGATCCAGTGCAGTTGTTGGTCAGTACAATGTGCTGCCTCTTGAAACAGGCTGTCCAGTTGTGGCAGCCAAGGGACAGTTTTCATCTGCCTTTTGGCACCTTTCCTATTGCCTATGGGACAAGATACAATTTATTGTTAACAATCTGGAGAAAAGAGCATGCAGTAGCCCTTACTACTTCAAAGACAGTTTTTTCCTTTTCTATTTGTTTAGATTTACTCACTGTGGTCTTGGGTTTTCTCCTGCAAATTAAAAAAAAAGTAGTGAGGTCTCTTGCCAGTACTGCTTCCTCCTTTTCTTACTGAAGTTCCTGTAGGAGCCTTGTCTCATGTGGATCTTCATACTTCATAGCACATGTGATTCTCTGTCTCTTAAACAGTGAAACACAGTATTTGTGCTTTTCTAATGCTGTTGTCTTCAATACGGGGTGGATTTGGATATCCACCACTCTGAAAGTGCAGGTCCCCAGTAGATTGACAAAAGTCACTGTACACCTGTTCATTTGCTGATCAGTATATGAGAGCACAGAGCCTCAGGATCTTGTGTGGAATTAAGTGCTGAGACCAGTAAATCTCAGTCCTAGGAGCATCATAGTTTTAACTGCTTAAATAGAAAAAAGTCTCAATGTTTTGTGTTTGAAGTTTAAGTAGATCCTTGATTTTATGTAGTGCCAGAGAATGGTAAAATAACTTCGGCTGGGACTTCTTGTGGTACCCTGGTTCAACCCCTGACTCAGTGCAAGGACAGCATTGATGCTAGATAGGTCAATTAGGATTGTATTTAGGAAATATTTTTTTTTTCCACAGCATCTCTGAGCAACCTACTCCAATATTTGACCACTCATTATTGTAGCTGGTCTGTTGCACTTGTCCTTTGACTCTCTGCTTCCAAGAGTGTGGCTCCACCTTCTCTTTGATTCCCTTTGAAGGTAGCAGTAGGATCTCCCCATGGTCATTTCACAGCTAATTCTGTCATTCTGCTGTGTAGGTCTTCTATTCCAGTTACCTCATTGTTCTGGCAGCCTTTGGATGTGTTTTTTCCCATGTATTCTAAGCTCACCAATGGACATGTGAAGCACTTTAAATTTTCGGTTTACACCTGTTTTCCTTCAAGCTTATCAAACATTGCCCGTATGTCAAAGATCTGATGGAATGTAATTTCTTGCAAGGTATTTTATGCCAGAAAATACACCAGGTATTTAACAGAAGTTCAGTATTATCTTTGCAGTAGAGTAGGAGTGACTTACTCTGCCTTTGGGATGTTCCCTTGGAGTGGATTAGAACAAGAATGCCTTGCATTTTTGGAGGTCCCTGGGTTGTACATTAATAGGTTGATACTTCTTGAGCAGTGTCCAAGCAGCTTCAAAATATCTCTTAAAGTCCAGTAACTTATTTTCTTAATCAGAGCCAATACTTTGTAAACAGAAAGGGGCAATGGCTGTGCCTTGCATTAACTCACCATCAGTGCTAATCTGCAGAGATCCCTGTGAAATGTTCTCTGTTCATCTTGTCTTCAGTTTAGAAAAGATCTGCAATTACTGGTTTGTTTTCTCTTCCCCCTTGTTAGAGTTTGGGTACAATCTTTATTTAAAACAGCTTTCTTGACTGTTAAATCATTTGTCAAGCAGAAGATTAGGTTTGAAAAATTGAAGAAAACTATTCCTTGATTCAAAATTTCAGGAAACCCAAAGTGGATAAAAAGATGTTTCCATTCAATTCTGTGTATTCTGGTGTCCTCTTGTGTGTGTGACAAAACTTTGAGGTGATACTCCACATGAGAGGTGTTACATCAAGTGTTTTCTAAAGGGTGAAGTCCTTCACTCTTGAGGCTTTTCTATGTTAATTGACAAGTTTGTGAAGTTCAGGAAATCTTTTCTAGGGTTGCATAGCACAGAACCTGGCAAGGATGCAGCTTGCATCAGCAGTCTTAATATGCCCTTAGCTGTGGAGCTAACACCATGTATCTTCTGAGCATCCTCTTTCCTGGTCAGGGCTTGTACATAGCACTTGCAATTTTTGCAGAGTGTGTGTTGAATAAAAAGAGAGAATTTCCAAATTTGTTTGAAAGCTCACTATCACTGAGCATCCATAGCTCCAACAAACCTCTTATCACTAATGCTCTTTGAAGCTGATAAACAATTAAAAATAGACTTGTCAAGTAAAAAGTGCAGCCATGACCCAGACTGGAGTGCCTTGTACTAAATAAATGGCAGAAGAACCTGGAGGGGAAGCACTTAAATTCAAAGGGTGTGAAATCCAACTGGTGTGAAATCCAACACTGCTTGGCCCTCATCACTGAGTGCAGCAAGAATACATGCCTCTCTTGAGAATTACTCCTCTGGACTTCCTTACCATTCCCAGGGTTTTTAGCATGTGTGCACACTGCAGAGTGACAAGGATTACAGAAAGAGATAATGTGCTGTCTTATAAATACCGTATTTCTGTAAACGTGAATATTTTACACCCTTAATTGATAAGGGGAATGAACCTTGCTTCACTGAGCAGAGGCTGCTCTTCCTCAGGGTGGCAAAGTTAGAGCTGATTTTGTTATTTGATGTAAGCAGTATATCCACTGCTGGATTGACAGTGTGTGAGGAGTGATATTTGCTCTCATTTACACCTCTTAAGCTATAAAAACTCCTTCATCATGTGATGTGCTATTCCACAGCACAGGAGAAAAAGGCCATCTGAAGTAGGCAGAGCTGGCTCTAAAACGTCATATTGCACTTGTAATCTGATGTGAGACATCCAGAGCTTTAGGTTGTCAGAACTGTAAATGCTAAAGAGTTTGAGAACAGGTAGGTAGAGAAGCTTGTAAAATGAGTTCAGTCATCCTAGTGAAAGTATTAAAGCTGATTAAAATATTCCTTTGGTTTTGCTTATGGCTCTTTTGGTAAGTGAAGGAGTCCTCAAGCAGCTATCAGTGCTGTTCTGTTAGGCGTGTGGGACTACACCTTTTGTTAAACAAGCATTAAATATTGAACACTGCTTTTATTTCCCCCCTCCCCACCCCCCCCAGCCCCTTACCTTTCTCTTTTATGTAGTTTCACTAGTTCATCTGTTCTGTTCCAGAGTGAGTTCTGACCTCAGGAGCTGGATGAAGAATAGCCAGCATGAAGAGAACAAATCAGTCCAGGCAGAAGTGCAGAAGCGTCAAGAACATAAATGTAAATTGAGGGGGTTTAAAGTGTGGTATGTGTTCCATGCTGAGGCAGTAGTTTCCTGAACATAAAGCTTAACATTGTGCTAGTAGAAACCTTTTTGCCCTGCTTCTCTTCTGGCTGCCCTTACTGTTGGGGCACACCAGAGATCTAGTCTGGATGGAAATAAGTATCCTTAGCTTGGTGAGTTCTGGCCTGGATTGGTTTCCTGACCAGTAGCTGCAGTCTTCAAAGTGCTTGTGCTAACATGAGGAATAGTTGGACTGATGGAGGGAATGAGTGGGCAGTTTAAAGGCAGGCATGGTTTCTTTGCAGAAGTGGCTATGTTTGGAAATGAGACCTTACTGCTTCCTGGGAGAAAGGGTTTTTTTCTTCCAAGGTTAAGTGCCTTTGTGGGATTTTGGGGGTTTTTTGCTTCATCTGCTTTCAAGGTTGATTGTAGCACTTTTAGGGCTTGGAGTATGAGAATATTTGGAATACAAGTCCAAATGAATTAAGGGTGTGTGTAAAACATGTAAAAAATGAAGCTTCTTAAAATTTCAGCATGAGGGTCACTTTAAAGGACTCACCCGGGTTTGACTGTGTTTATGTCTGCTCCAACACTTATTAATTCAGACTGACTTTTCTGTGATTCAAAAGCAAGGCTGTCTTAATTTAGGCTCTGGGAGCTTGTCTTGTCCACCACCCTTCTGCCATAGGTGCTTTCAAAACTCTTGGAATTTCCTGTCCCTGCTGCAACAACAGTAAACTGCACCTCTGTGTTTGACAGCCTGACATTAAGTTAACTAGCACTGACTTTAGTTTTCCTTATGTGCATCAGGGTATGATTTGTGAGGTGACTAATAGTTAGTGCATGGGCAGCTATTATTGCCCAATGAACCCAAGTTACCATCCCAGGGATAAGCTCTTCCTGCTCCTCCAATTGGAAGCCTGAATTCCCTTGTCCTGGTAGAGTATCACTACTTAATGAGTACCTGTGCAAAGATAAAAGAAATAGCTGTTCCCCAAAAGTTTATTCTTGGATACTTGTTCATCTAGATGAAGCCTTAGAGGAAAACAAAATCCAGCTACTTATTATGAAGTCTCTAGAATGCCATGAAACTTGTTGCACAGGTCTTTTTTTTCAGGTGTGGGAGTGGCTGCTATTGCCAGTATATCATGCAATACCACATCAGATGGCCAAAGAATCCTGTTCTTCTCCTGTTTCTTCATTATTTTGAAGAAAGATCTTCTTTTGCTGTTAGCAGTTTGCTAGTAGCCTACATGAAAGGCTAAATTAATGTGTAATGGGAGAAATGGCCACAAGTACTTGTTGATAAAACTAAATCTTTCCCAGTATCTACCTATACAAGGCTTCACTTTTTGTGGTAATGGATTTTACAGGCTGTTTAACCTGAAATAATTTCTGATTCTCAATTTAATACCGTCAGGTATTCTGATGGTCTTTCATGAGCTCTTTCATCACTTTTACATCATGAAGACCTGGAAAAGGGAGGGACTGATTAGTTCTATGATCTAACATCAGCTAAAAAGAAATTCCTTTTTGACTGCTTCTTTTAAAGTGTAAGCCTTCCTGTATTCTACACGTGATTAGATTGCATGTTTGTCCTTCTGAAATGGACTGTCAGGTTGGCAAAATATAATGACTTTCTAACTAAATTAAAAAGGGAAACTTTTGAAAATATTATTGATAAGAGTGTATTTCACTGGCATTTCTCAGCTTTCAGTAGAGAATTCTCTATATGAGTAAAGACCTAATATCATCTAGTGATATGCACTAGCAGGTATTGAAAGAAATAGTGAAAAATTAAAACAAAGATTTGAAACAATGTTAGATAGCAACAGAAGGAGAAATTAAAGAAGAATGGAACAAATTTTAAGAACATCATCTAATTTTGTCCTTATTACCTTCTCAATAGACCTTTAATTCTCCAAATCTAAAGGAAAAGCAAGATAAAAATTATTCTTCAGAAATAAAGCTGAAATGCTTTCATCAGTCTGCTTTCTTCATCAAGGCTTTCCTTGTCAGGTTACAGGATATCTCAAGTGACTTGAATATGTGTGGGATTTGTTGTCGGTAACTGCAGTGATTTTTTTCTCTTTTGTTCCACAATGCAAGTTCCAAGTAGTTGACATTATTGTATCTGCTCTTCTCTCCATTGTAGGCTGCAGCTTATTACAGCAGAATTAGCAGTATTAGTTCTGGAAGAGCCATGATCTGGGGCTTTCTGCCACTGTCAGGTGTAAAGATTAAGAGGGAGCTTGTTCAGCAAACAGCTGAGGAAAGATGTGGAATTGAGTTTCCTTCTGCCTGGCTGGGGGCCCCGGGTATATACTCTGTTTCCATGTCTTGCATGAACTCCCTGAGTTCCTGATCCAAAGTGAAAGGTCAGCTTTATTCTGAGTAATAGCAGGAGATCACAGGTGTGTGCTACTTGCTGACTGAAAAATAGGGGTCAGTGCTGAATGAAGCTTCTCATTGCTTGCCATCATTTCATGAGACACAATGAAATTGGAAAGAGCTTTGCTGGGATCCCTGGGCAGGAGTACTTCTGTAAGTTGCAGGAGGAGCAGGGAAAAAAGAAAAGGGGTGGAGTAGAGAAACGGCACAAGATGCATTTTGATTCTAGCATTGCACCAGGCTGACTGTGGAGAATGTTCTGTAGCCAGGGATAGGCTTGACTGTGCCCTTGGGAGTTTGTAGGGGTCAAAGGTAAAGATTATTTGATATGATGTGGGCCGAAGTGTGCTGCCTTCACGGGAGCATATGTAAAAAGTAACTTTGGTTGACAGGTAACAACTCAGTGAAAAAAATATGGACGGCAGTCTGGTCACAGATAAATACTATGGAATTCAGACACTTTGCTTGCCCACAGACTTGCTGTAACCCAGAGGGGTTGCAGTATGCATAAGCGAAAGCAGTTTCACTGTCGTGTGTCATGGGTGGGTGGCACAGAGTGGAGGGACATGGCTCAGTGTAGCCACCTAGCTCACCAAGTACAAGATTCCTGGTGCTGTGGTTTGCTGACGGCTTTATGCTCATACTGCAGCTTAAGGTGGCCCTGGTGATCCCTTTCCTCTACCCAAGCATTTGTGTGAGGAATTGGGTCAGGAACTGAACATGTTCTAACAGAATTGTTTTTCTCTGCATTAGTTTTCAGCTGGAATTAGTTCTCGATGGAGATCATTATGGTGAATTATTCTGTCACTGTGAAGGAGGAAGCTGAGAGCAGCTCTTTGGACAGTGAGTGCTGTGTTTACCTGTCTTACAGAGACCATGAAACTATTACACAAGTTAAAAATCTGGTCTCCTGTCTTGTTACTGAGGAAAAAGTGGGTTCCTCTTGATGTCAGTTTAGTGTAGGGATCCACTTAAAAGCTTGGAATTACTCCCTGGAACAATGTGCTCTTCTTGCTGTATTTAGACCAACCTCCCAGCACAGACACCTTGGTTAGGTAATCACCACCAACACTGACTGTCTTTTGTGATCCCTTCACAGGGTCGGCACTCAAGGAAACCATCCTTGTACAATTCTGCATTTTCCAATTGCAGCTCTCATTCCTATAGCTGGTTTATGTATTTCTTGGGACTTAATCTTGCTTTTCATGCAGAGAAAAAGCAAAAACGTTTATTAACCTGTGGTGAAGTTTGCTTTTCTCTTATAGGTTTCTTGCTTTTCCTTACGCCCTCCAAGATGCTGAAGTATTTCTCAGAATAATTGCTTAATAGTGGGTTGATGTGACTGCCCTTTTTTTTAAAGCTGCAATAAATGTTTTTCCATTCTACTCTTCTTGTTTGCTTTTGGTACCAGTGTTGTAAGTGGCAAGGAGGAAATGAGAAAACAGCTGGAGATGGGCGTGTAGCAATCATAACCAGTGGATATGGAATTGGTTGCAGTAGCCAAATGAAAGCCTTAAGTTTTTATTGTGAGAAATTGACTTAGTGAAAGAAACTTACCCAATGTTTTAGTTTCTCCTGTTGGTAGTAACTGTTTGGTGTTTTGCATGTGAAAGACACAGCTGGCCTGTTTGGATGTATGTCTGTCCGCTTTAGAGCAAGTTATGCTTGTGCCATGTTCATCTCTTACCAGGATAGTTCTGCTGGAGGAAATGGAAAGGCTGCCTATCTGTTAAACTGATTTCTCTTTGGCTGTGCTTAGCTGGGAGACTTTTTAGGGAAAAGTTATAGCTGTTTCATTGTGGGAAGGAGAATGGCCAAGCACTCCTGCAGTTAATCTGCATCCACTCATGCCCTTAAATACTTACACAGACATGTGTGGATTGCAAGCAGGGGAGAAAAAAGTCTGTTGTCTATAAACACTGTTGGATATATTTTTTTTCAGTCTTTCTCTTGCTTTAAGTAGGATATATAGTGCATAACTGCAGACTCTTAGTTGAAGTTTTTGGTTATTCCTCTATTCAGCTTTCAGAGCTTCTCAGGGGATGCAGGAGAAATGTAGGTCTCCCATGTTTTAACATTAAGCTTTATTTCCACTCCCATGTAATTTTTGATAAGCGGCAAAGCCATGTCAGTTTTTGAGTGGGATCTGGATGTGGATTGACTTGAATTCAAGGCCTGAATATGGTGCAAGGGTTGTTTGCACTACTGTAGCTGCTGATACTTTTCATTATTTTATGAATGTCAAAAATTTATTGATAGCATTTGGCTTCATTGTTTCTATTGGAGTTTTAAATTTTTTTCTCAAGTTAAGTGTGTATTACAGCACTAAATGTACTTTTAAATTGCATTAGTGTCCCAGCAGTTTTTATTGAGACTGTGCCTTGTTTGGAAAAAATAAATATTTTTATATAATTTGGTCCATGAAACTTGATGCAGTTCAGGGTTCCTTAATTTTAACATGGCTGAGAGGCAGACAAATGCCTCTTTGATAGTAGTTTTATTATAAATAATACCACTAAAATAAATAGGCACTGGCACTAGTGGTCCCTGTCTCTTTGTTTGTACTTTCTGCATTGACAATGACAGCAAATTGTTTTCAATGCTTCTACATTCCTTCAAGTACCTAAAGGGACTTTAAAAGAGCTGGAGAGGGACTTTGGACAACGGCATGGAGTGACAGGACAAGGGGGAATGGCTGCCCACTGACGCAGGGCATGGTTAGATTGGATATTGGGAAGAAAGCAAGTGTATCTGGGCCGCGACTCTCTGTGCTCTAATCAGTTGGATAGTTGGCACTAAATTACTTTCTCTCAAGCAGCCTTTTGATTCCTTTCATTGGAATGAGGTGTCAGTTGTATGAAATGCACAGCACTTTTTATTTCTGCTTGTTCCAGCTTTCTGGATGGGCTGTCCATTAATTGAGGTCTGTTTGGATGTCACAGCTCCTTACCTGGCTAATTGGATTGTGACAGTGCACTGAGCTATTCGGTGTCACCGTGTCTCCCGGCAGAGCCTGCTGAGTGAGCCTGTGTGCAAGGGTTGGCTTGAGCTATTAGTGGGAATTATGTTTTCAGATCTTCTGTGGTCTTTTTTTGGTCATTCTCCTTATTGTGGAATATTTTCTCTTTTGCTTTTTTTTTTTTTCAGTCTTGATTTACTGCATCTTTTAACTTGCTGCTTTGTTTTCCTTTTTAGATTCAGTCATTGTGGAACTGAGCTGTTGGTGTAAGGTAGCTGTACCTGGTAGGAAGAGAGCTGGAGACAAAAGCCAGAAATAAAAAGTTAAGAGAAACTCTGCAGTTTTTATTCCTAATGTTCTGCTATAATGGTCTTAGTTATAGCAAATGGCACATGTCCTCCAATAAATACAAAATTTGCCTGTGAGACTCACTTTATGAAAAAGGAGAATTAGGATAAAGAAATTAAGTAAAAAAAGTAGCAAGTTGTTCAAGACAGTGATTGAGAAGTGTCATGGACAGCCAGTGCAAAGCTCACTGCAGCAGAGATGGAGTCTTTACAGAGAACTTAGTTAGTAGGAGAGCACCCATACATTTTCCTCTCAAATTTGGGGTACATCCTTGTGTCCCCACCCCGCAGTTGAAGAAGTTTGAAATTTGTAAATCCACGCTTCTTGAGAGGAAATCTCAGCAGTTTCATGAGATTTGTGAGCTGTCCAAAGCATCAAGTGAGACGATTCCTGTATATTTCTGTAATCTTATATGTTGTTAATATGACATTTAGTGTATTGTGACAATTCCCCTGTGTCAAGACTTTGGTTTAAAAACAGACATTTTCAGATGCATTAACTGATGGAAAGGAATGGACTGTAGTGGATACTTTGGAGTAGGCAAGAGTAAGTGCTGATCCATGTGCTGAGTGTTGAAGACCAGGGAATTTGGGTCAGGATGCAGCCTGTACTGCGACAATGGAAGGGGCAGGCAGGAGTTCAGAGGTGACATGGAGGTGGCAGGGTCGGGGTGCGGTGGCAGGCAGGGATGGAGGTGACAGAGGTGGCAGGGTCGGGGTGCAGTGGCAGGCAGGGATGGAGGTGACAGAGGTGGCAGGGTCGGGGTGCAGTGGCAGGCAGGGATGGAGGTGACAGAGGTGGCAGGGTCGGGGTGCAGCGGCCCCAGCCCCGGTGCAGTGCGCCATCTCGCCGCTCGGGGGCAGCCGTGCCCCGCCGTGTAACCCGCGCTAGCCGCCCGGCAGGGAACGGGGTGAGAGGTGACACGGGGAGCAATAGCGGGCTCCGAGTTTCTTTACTGGACGGCTGTAAGAATCCATCCATTCCTTTCACACAGGTACACCCCTCACTGTGAGTGTCTTTAGCCTGAGGCTTGCTGCAGGCATTTCCATGGTCTCCCTGTACACCTGCATTCCTAGGCTGGCAAACTTCCTGATGATGTGAGCTGTGTGCCAGTCTTTATGTGTGCCAGTGGCCTGTTCTTTTGTGGACATAGGATTTTCTGCTTTACAAGTCAGAAGTGGTGCCTTCCTACTACTCCACTATAGAATCATAGAGGACACTGGCAAATTTTGGCCTGTTGGCTTCCTTTCAGGTGACTTAGCAGAATTGTTACCAACTTACACTGACATTGAATGTGACAGTCTTTGTGATGGCCCCACCTCTGCTCAGAGCTGCCTGTACTTGTATCAAGGTTGCAGACCTCTGCTTGGCACCAGTATTGCATTAGCTTTGCAGATGGACTTTTGCAATTTTTTCCCTCCATCCTACATATTTTATTTTTACCTCCTTGCCCATTTACCACATTTTATGTGTTGTTTAGCTATGTCCTTTTTTTTTTTTTTTTTTTTGTTCAGACACTTTTGGTCACCTGGAACGTCTTCTCTTCTCTCTGCAAATACTTAAGATAATTGTAAAACACTTTTGCAGTTGCTGTAGGCCAGAGACCTGCTCTGTTCTGATTGCCTGCTGTCTGGTGTTAAGTACTTACATCATCTCGTGTACTTCAGCTGTTTGTCCATATGGATTTGCTCTGACTTGAAAAGCTGACGGGTGGTAAAGGAAAGGAGGGGCGGGATCCCTGCAGGGAGTGCGCATGAAGCCATATGTTGGTATTCCTGGGTATCTGGTGCCCTCTGGAGACTGTGGCTGCCCACGACATCACGAGTGTCAAGACAGGATGTTAATTTATGTCCCTAGCCTGGGCAGGCTGAAGAACTACGTGAGCTTTATTGTTTTCACAGCAGAAGTGGAGGACACTAGAAAAGACAGTAGAGTAAAAGCAAGAATTCTCTAAAAATAATAGAAATTACATGTCTTATAATTTCTAAAGTTAATGGAGATTTAATAGCTGTGCTTTATATTTATGTCTTGTATAAAATTGAAATTGAGTATGCAAGATTAAGTGTAGATATTTGAAAATAGTATGGGGATTTAAAAGTGTTGAGTTAGCAAGGGAGATTAAATATTTATATTAATTCACTTACCTGGTTTGAGAGGCCAGTCAGTCTAATGGGAAAATATAGAAGTATCTTAGCAAATCTGGAACTGGATTCAGGAATTTTTCACAGCCTTAGTAAGGAAGCTGGCTTTTTTGTTACTTTCTTATCCAGAATTGACCTTGGTACTTTTTTAATGTTTAATGAGGGGTATAATAAATGGTATCCTGATGCAGGGAAATAGTTTGGTGTGGTTAGGGACCTCCTTTTATTTTTACAAAGTAAATCACCTGGAACTGAGACCGACTTACAAAATGCTCCTTTGCAATAATCTTATTCCTTTTATTTGGGAAAAAGACAGCTGCAAAGCAATAATTTCTTTTCACTCTTATTACTCTTGAAACAATCTTCCTGCATAATGAGAATACAGGAGTTTAAAATTTTGCCCCAACTGCAGTGAAGAACACTGGGTGACCTGAGGAGGCAGAAAATCTCAGTGTTCTGTTTGTGTGCAGCTCTTGTCAGAGTTACAGTTAAGGCCCACCAAAATGCTGTGCTTCTGTATTGTTTTTTTGTGATTGTATGGATGGATTTAACACAGGTATCATGAGATCCTTAGAATTCAACCAGCTCAGAGTCCATATTATTTACACTGAATTAAGATTTTACCTGAGTTGTCTCCTGCTATGGTTCATTCAGCTGAGGGAGGGAGTGCACTGTGCATCTTCGGATTCACTCAGGGCACAGCAGTGCCAGAGGTGGGAGCAGGAATTGAACTGCTTACAAGAGACATACTTGCCTAACTCCTTTATGTCCTTATGTTGTTCAGAGAAGTTTAGACTTGAAGTAATAGTAGTTTGATATGAAATAAGTGCAACTTATGTTCTTATGCTTAATTCTTAGTGTCTTTTCTTCCTGGAAAACTTCTGCAGTTCTCAAATGTAATACTTCTTTAAGGTTGGCTTTTTGATTTTAACAGTATCATAATTTTGTACCTTTAAAATTTTTAGCCGGAGACTGCCTCTGGTACTGCTAAGCTATGTGAAATGATTAAACAAGCTCAATAAGGAATAATACTGCTGTACATCTTGCTGGTGGGATTTGTGGTCTTTGAGAAACGGGAACATGCGTATCTCTTAATCTCTCTTCCTTACTTTCCTTCCTTTCCAAGAAGCTGATACAGTTGTCTCACTGCAGGCAGCGTTCTGTGATTGCCTTGCTTTGCAGTGGTGATGGGCTCGTGGAGACCTACAGCTCTCAGCTCCTGTTTTCTGAATATGATTGAGATGGGTTGGGTGTTTCCAGTTGGGCGACTTGTTCTTCTCTGGGGTTTGTGCAGTTGTTAAATACATTGGATGCTGTGCAGCATTCATTTTCTTGTTTTTACAGCAGGAAGGTGAAATGGAAGGTGAGGCAGTCGACGCTATTGTGGAGGAATCAGAAACTTTTATTAAGGGAAAAGAGAGGAAAACCTATCAAAGACGCCGTGAAGGTGGACAAGAAGATGATGCTTGTCATATACCACCAAACCAAGCAGATGGAAGCGAAGTGGTGCAGGATGTCAGCAGTGGGGTGCAGATGGTGATGATGGATCAGCTAGATCCAACTCTTCTTCAAATGAAGACCGAAGTAATGGAAGGTGCAGTGCCTCAAGAAACGGAGGCTACTGTGGATGACACACAGATCATAACACTTCAGGTTGTTAATATGGAAGAGCAGCCTATAAACCTTGGTGAGCTTCAGCTGGTTCAAGTACCTGTACCAGTGACTGTACCTGTTGCCACCACGTCTGTGGAAGAACTGCAGGGAGCTTATGAAAACGAGGTTTCCAAAGGAGGCCTGCAGGAGGGGGAGCCCATGATCTGTCACACCCTCCCTTTACCAGAAGGCTTCCAAGTTGTGAAAGTGGGTGCAAATGGTGAGGTGGAGACACTGGAGCAAGGTGAACTTCAGCCACAGGAAGATCCCAATTGGCAAAAAGATCCAGACTATCAGCCACCAGCCAAAAAAACAAAGAAAAACAAAAAGAGTAAGCTTCGCTACACTGAGGAAGGCAAAGATGTGGATGTCTCTGTATATGACTTTGAAGAGGAGCAACAGGAGGGTTTGTTGTCCGAGGTTAATGCAGAAAAGGTGGTGGGCAATATGAAGCCACCAAAACCAACAAAAATTAAGAAGAAAGGTAAGTTCCCCATCTGCAAATGGATTTTGGAAATGCTTTTATTGTGGCAATTGCAGTGTGATTGAGGCGAATGAGTATGTGCAAGGGGGAGAAGAGCAGACATGCCCAATGCTGCCTGCTCACAATGTAACAGTGTTCGACTGCAGTGCTTCTTGGGTACACCTCCCTTCTCCTCTCTACAGGCTGACTGGGAGATCATTTTCCACAAGTGTAATACTATGGCATTAATAGTCTCATACAACTGTGATTGAAAAGGTTGTTCTCTTCGATGTACGACACATGTAACAGTTTATGTACATGTTTTACATCAGGAGCCAATGCTGTAATTAATTCTGTGGGCTTTTTCCTAACCAATTGCTGGGTAACGTAGATAATGTAAATTACAGTAATAAGTATGTTTGATTTTTGTTAAAACTGTACATTAAGGAACCCTTTTTAGAGTGCAGAAAGAACATTAAGTACTGGCATACCGGTGAAAATTGAATCCAAACCAGCCACAGGCGTGCAGTTGGATTTAGTGGTGCATGGTGGTTCCTTGCAGTAGTTACACCCCCAAGAATCTTTCCTCTTGTGTTACACAGTAGACCACAGTACTGTCCAAGACTAATGCTGATTTCCTTCACAACCAGGTGTAAAGAAGACATTCCAGTGTGAACTGTGCAGTTACACTTGTCCGCGTCGTTCCAACTTGGACCGCCACATGAAAAGCCACACCGATGAAAGACCACACAAGTGCCATCTCTGTGGCAGGGCTTTCCGGACAGTCACATTGCTGAGGAACCACCTCAACACTCACACAGGTACTCTTGGTTATGCATACATTGTATTTGTAGAATCTGCTCTGCCATCAGAGCAAATAGATTGAATTGAAGATAGACCCTTCTTGTTTTCCTACTTCCTCTTATGGAACAAGCTGAAAAAAAGAAATGGTGTAGTTGTTTTCTGCCTGGCCAGATGAGGTGCAGAGCTTATCCTATTCACAGGTACAAAGTTGATCCTGGGCTTGATCTCAAGTTACCTGAAATTATAGAAATGTTTTCTTTGCCTTGGGCATTAGCACTCGTGTTTTTAGCTTGTTGTGCCTTACTGCCAAAAAAAGAGTGTAATTCATAATCTCTCATTTTCTCTGCTTACTGAAGTTATGTTTAACTAGCTGGTTTCTAATGTGTAAACAACCAAGTGGTACAAAAATAAAGGAGTCTGTTTCCTCACTGGAAGGATATTAATTCCCTAAGATCTTAAATCTATTAGTTATTTATACAAAACCTCTGACTTCTGTGCATTCTGTTGCTCTAATTTAATCTTTCAGAACATGAAAGCAGTGTTGCTAATTCACTTTAAAAACAAAAAAAAATCCACAACCAGCGCTGTCCCATATTTTCTTTTGTCACTAAATCTCTGTGTCACTGTCTTCCTGTCCTGCTGCACTCTGTTAGGTACTCGCCCTCACAAGTGCCCAGACTGCGACATGGCCTTTGTGACCAGTGGAGAGTTGGTTCGGCATCGCCGCTACAAGCACACCCATGAGAAACCATTCAAATGTTCCATGTGTGACTATGCCAGTGTGGAGGTATGGGACTTGTTACAGTGCTGAGTGCTTCCTTGTGCGCTTCAAAGCTTGTTCACCATCTGTTACAAACTCTGTTCTTAGGCATTTCCTCTTTGGCCATTTGGTTGAAAGGCTCTGGGCAAAAGAAGTTATAAATCAGGGCTGCTCTTGGAAGCAAATGGTGGGGTTTCCTCAGTGAATCAGAAAGCAATTTGAGATCACTTACAGAAATTTTAGGTGATACTTATTTCCTCTTTGGAGACAATAGTTGTCACGGTTCTTAAATGATTTGTTCTTTAAGCTGATTGCAGGAGTTGTAATGCACTCCATGTTGAAGGAGACAGACATTTCCTGCTGCAGTGGGATGTCCTTTCAGTCCACAGTGCCCTCCCATTTTAGAAACATGCATTCTGCACATCATCTGTTTATGCCATGAAGGTGTCTGTAGCTAAAACTAATGAGCCTTTGTCTCAGTATTGGTGAAAAGCAGCTTTGCTAATGTTAGATGATAGCTTAATTTGCCTGAGCAGATTAGACATTCTTGAATGCTTTCCCACCATGCAGTATTGTTAGATATTTTATAGGACAGCTTTTATATTGTGAAAGGAAATTCGAGCCAGATGATGAGCAACATAATTTTAAAAAAATGGGATGTCTGCAGTAGAAGAAGGCTACAGTGGGAGAGCTTGAGTAGGGGCTTCAGGGTTTTTTTTCCTGCCCACGCTGTGCCTGCAGTGCTGTCACTTCAGGTCCTGTGGTTTGAGTGCTGAGTAAGTTATGTTGCAGAGGTTTTCATAGTATAAATTAGGAAAGAATAACCAAGTTGGTCCTTATGAGGTCATGCTGCTTTTTGTAGGCATAAGTTGGTGATTAAGCAGCATGATCAGGCTGGAGTTGAAAATGCCATACTGTTGGTGTTCTTGCTTTGAGCTGGATTTGTACCTTCTAAATAAAAGCAGAAGAAAAGAATTAAGCTTCCCCACACTGCTTCCCCACACCACTTCCCTGTGTTTCTCCAGGATATTTTAAAATTTAGAGTGTCTGCAGAGGCTGAGATGCTCAATAAGAGTAAGGTGAGCAGAGAGTCTAAATCGGGCCTCAGTGAGTGTGGGAACAATCATCAGGCAAGACTGGGAGTGAAGCTGGGAGGTGAGGTAGAGTGGGCAGGAGCAAGTGGCTGTGTGCAATGGGAAAATGGCACTGAAATGGGCTTGTTTGGTGTTGTGCCTAAGTAAATACAAACTGCCTTAAACTCTTGACTGGTTTCTTGTAGTTTTGGCAATCTGGCCTGCTCATCTGTGCTAACTTCAGTCTTGCTCTTGGCTTCCAGGTTAGCAAATTGAAACGCCACATCCGTTCGCACACCGGAGAGCGCCCGTTCCAGTGCAGCCTGTGCAGCTATGCCAGCAGAGACACCTACAAACTGAAGAGGCACATGAGGACCCACTCCGGTACTGATGCTGGATTCTCTTTGTGTCAGAGAGCTGAGGCTACAGTGTCTGCTGACACACAGCAAACAAATACTATTGTGTGGTTTAATATAAAACCTTTATAAAGTGTGTAGCTGAAGAGAATGCACCAGGCTTTGTAAGCACTTGTAAATTTATAACCTGATTAAATTACTGCACTGAGAAATGAGCTTGGAGGATTCTGATTTCTATTTTGACTGTGAGGTGATAAAATGCAGGCACCTCTGTATGAACAGAAGAAACTTCTTCTGTTTGTAGTGTTCCAGTTGAAGAGTAGAGCCATTTGCAGTTTCTTGCTTCAGTGCATCTTTAAAAGCATCTTATGCATGTTAGTTCATAAAGATGCTAATTTTTTCTTCAATATAAATAGGGATGATTTTAGTACAGAATGTTACTGCAGTGCCAAATTAATCATATTGCTAAAATTGAAGGGGGGAAAGACGCCCTTTTATGTATACATGAACATTCAGAACCTCCACCCCAAAAGAATCTGATGTCACTTGCTCTCTTCTGGCAGCCTGCATGTAGGTCTTGTGTGCATTTCTCAGAGTAAGAATAATTTAACTTGCTTAAGGGTTGAACTTCAGTTTCTTTGTAGAAAGATGTGTACTGGAGCTATAACTTGCAGAGAAAGATGTTACTGAGTGCTTTGTAGAATTATAATTTCTGATGTGTGTTGCAAGTTTTTGGGATGTTGTTTGGGGCTTCTTGGTGAGATTTCTTTTTAATAAAAGTGCTTGTTCTTTTTTTTCCTTTCGCCTCCTGAAGGAGAGAAGCCATATGAATGTTACATCTGCCATGCTCGCTTCACTCAGAGCGGTACCATGAAGATGCACATTTTGCAGAAGCACACGGAGAATGTGGCCAAATTCCACTGTCCTCACTGTGATACTGTTATAGCGAGAAAGAGTGACCTGGGTACGTGTCTCCCAAACATGGCCATTTGCTGAAGAGGGTACCAAACTTTCCAGGATTAGAGTTCTCATAACCCAACTGCTGTCTCTTAACCCAGTACCCAGTCTGGTAACTGCACAACATGAAGCACAGCTTCACATCTGGGGCTGGTAACACACACCTTTAGCTTACCATAGCTGCTGCAAGTTAGAACAGTTTTCAATTTCTTCTCATTATTTGATTTTTTTTTTTTCCTCCCAAGCATACAAGGTAGGTTACTGTTTGCCCATAGATGCAAGGTGTTTATTGAACTTGGACTGAGATGTCAACAACATAAGGATTAGGATCTGAAAAGCAAGATCATTTGGCTTAACCTCCTGCATATTGGAGGCCTTTAAGTTTCATGCAGAGATATTTTCATCAAGTTAAAAGGTTTGAATTAGACCAGTATTTAACTTTTCATGATTTGGAGCTGTATGCTCAAAAAAACCCTGAGTCCTTACAGTAGGACATTCCTGATCTAGTGAGCAGTACCCAGTGTGATTACAGCAGGGAAGCTCTTATGTTTCTAGAAGGTGACAAACAATATTGTGCCCAGAGCAGCTGAGGGGAGGAAGGAGCCACGATTTGGCAGAACTTTCTGTCTTTAAACAGAATTATCACCCAAGTAATGGGAAGGCAGGCTCCCTTTCAGTAAAAATAAGTGCTATAGTAAGAGGCAGTTTGAGAGGAAGGCAGTCAGTTGATGTCAGGAGCAAACAAGCTGATTTACAACAGAGGAAAACTGATGTTAGCTATGAAGAATTTTTCTTCTAATAATGCTTTAATCTACCCTAAGCTACCTTGTGCGGTTGTGGTATGCTCTTAGTTGGAGGATTTTAAAGAAGTGACTAAAACCTCTCTTGGGGATTATCTGCTGGTATCCCTGTTGCCTTCTAGTCCTGTCACTCTGACTTCTAATCCTGCAGAAAATCCTGTTTCCCCCCACTGAATTACCTGGCTTCTGACTGCATCCAGGCAATTCAAGCTAGTCTTAAACATAGCAGTCCACAAGACTCTAGTTTGACAATCATGTGCCATCAAATTCAAGTATCCTGAATCAGCACAGATTGCAACTAACCAAATAACCAAATAACCAAATCTGGAATCCTGTGGAAAAATCTTAATGGAGTTTTTCTGCAAGCTCTTTCTGTCTAGAAACTGTTCTAGTTGGTTTTACTTGCAAGTCCTTCAGGTTTTTAGTTGAATCCTAAGTTAACTATTCCACTATTTCAGCTGAGCTTGGGAGGGAGGATCCCTGAAGGACCGTGGGATCATCTTTCACGCTTGGAAAGCCACGGTGGTAAAAGCTTTTGATTCTTTTTCCTGTAGGTGTCCACTTGCGGAAGCAGCATTCCTACATTGAGCAGGGCAAGAAGTGTCGCTACTGTGACGCTGTGTTCCATGAGAGGTATGCCCTTATCCAGCATCAAAAGTCCCACAAGAATGAGAAGCGCTTCAAGTGTGACCAGTGTGATTATGCCTGCAGACAGGTGAGCTGGGGGCACTGCCACCACTTAGGAGTGTTAGGACAGGAGCTGAAAGTATGGGATGGAAGTCTTAGCTGTTATGATCAAATTAGCTGTCTAAATCTTTTGAAGGGTGTAAAGGAGAGTACAAGTGGTCTTTTCTTGGTGTGATCCTGTAGAGAAGAACCTTCTAATTCACAGCCTTGATGTACCCATTGACCAAGGGATGAGAGTCTATATAGGATGGAAGTAGCTAGGACTGAATATGCCATCAATCAAGATGTTCTTGCATTGCTGTGGAGTCATTGTTTTCCTGATAGAAACCATAAAATTTTGGCCTTGTTTTAGCTAAAAATTCACTTTTCTGCATCTATTTATGCGAGTTTCCATTTTTCCTGTCCATGCCAGGAGCGGCACATGGTCATGCACAAACGGACCCATACTGGAGAAAAGCCTTATGCCTGTAGCCATTGTGATAAAACCTTCCGCCAGAAGCAGCTCCTCGACATGCATTTCAAGAGATACCATGATCCCAACTTTGTCCCTGCTGCCTTTGTCTGCTCCAAGTGTGGCAAAACATTCACTCGCAGGGTAAGGGAATATGCTTTGGATTGGGGAGGGTTGGGGTGGAATGAGGCTTTTTTAGCCAAGGGGAGGGAAATGTTTACACAGAAGGAAAGATGGGTGAGGTACAGGGTGAAATATGAATCTTTTAATAGAGCCCTTCTCTCTGAGAGGAAAAGAGAGGAGAGAGAATTCAGAATTGGTACCAACACACATTAGTGTTGAATCATAAACAAGGTGGAAATGCAACTTTATGAATACAGTTAATGAATGTACACATTCTCCCTAAAGAATCTCTCTTTAATAAAAATGCACAAGTCATACTTACCAGAAATGTGTTTGAAAATAGAGACAGAATGTCTGATCTTGAATTCAGTGCATGTTTTAACTTTCCTTGTGTTTTTAATCCTTCACTGAGTAGAACACAATGGCCAGACATGCTGATAACTGCTCTGGTCTAGATGGTGGAGAAGGAGAGAATGGAGGAGAGACAAAGAAAGGCAAACGTGGCCGAAAGAGAAAGATGCGTTCTAAGAAAGAAGATTCTTCTGATAGTGGTAAGAACGGCTCAGTACCTACTGAGAATTACAGGTCTGTGATTCACTATGTGTGTTAGCTGCTGGTTTGCCAATTCTGCAGGTTTCTTCTGGCACTTGAAAGAGTCTTGTCTGGTTGGCAAACACAGAATATGGTGATACATGGCCAAGTACAGAGGGATGTACTGGCTGTGATAATATAGATCCTGCTGTCCTAGGCCTGTTCCAAGACAGTAGTTAAAAAACACTGTCTGACACCCCTTGTGTCAGCTGTGCCATTCCTATCCCACCTGTGTAGGAAACTCTTTGGTTTATTTTTTTTCTGAGTTGCAAGAGGCTGTGTGGTTCTGCAGTGCATTGCTATGAAATATTACTTGATCCTTCTACACCATTACTGGGTGTCATGTCCAGACAACTCCACCACTGAATAGTTTGGCTACTTCTGTGGAGGAAGGCTGGCAACATCCAGGGGAATGGTGGAGATTAATACTATATAGAAGGAAAAACTCAGTCCAGCCTCGTGGTAGAGGAAAAACTTAATCATGTCTGCAGCAGGAAGAGCCATGTAGAGTCTCAAGACCTACCAGTTCAAAGATGATTTTGCAAAAGGAGTGTTGCTGATAAGCCTTTTATCTGGAGTGCTTTATGTAATTAATCAAGAGGTGTAGGTTGGGAGAACAGGGATACTTCTGACTAGACAACTAGTATCTGAAAATCTCACATGGCAAACAAGTTTTAGGATGAATATGATCAAATGATTTGCAAACCTTGATTGAAAAACAGGAGAAATTTATACTTAAAGTCATATTTGTAGTGATAGTTAGAAAAATGTATTAGGTGAATTAAGCACATGTAACTAATTATGTGTTTAAAACATGACAAGGTAATGATGGCTGGGTAAAATAACTGATGGAAGATAATTAAAAATGTGGCATTTTGGAGTATTGCATTGTTAGTATCTGATTTGAAATCTTCCTGGAAGCTCAGCCTGTTCTGAAAACTTACATTTTATTTAGTTGGTTTGTTCTGGGTTTAAACCAGTTTTTTGTAGGGGAAGCTGGTCAAAAGTCAGGCTTGTTAATGAGCTGATGATGTGCAGTGAATGATGCCCAGGCTCTGTGCTGAGGGAGTCCCTCCAGCCTCAGTGGAAGCAGCAGGTGTGGGATGACCACAGGAGTCATTCGATAGATTGGAAGAATTGACCAGTGGGAGCTGAGTAGCTGTAAGAAAGATGTGCTGATCATCTACTTGAGGAATTGCATTATTCACTGTTGTGTTTATTTGGAAATCTGCAGTTTCATGAGGTTTGGCAACTACTGAATACCTAAAAATTACAAGCAAAGCTAGGATGAAATAGACCTATTTGTGTTAATGGTGGGGGGAGGACCAAATAGTGATTGATAGTTTTGTCTCCTAGCTGCCCAGCATTAGACAGAATATTAATTGATAGATACTGAGTTGAGGTGAGAGTGTAAAGAACCTCTAAAAACATGGGACCTGAGAAATCCAGTAAATAAATTCCTTGTGGGGAATGCCCCTTGGGTGACTGTAAAATCATGCAGTATCTACATGCCTCAGTGTGAGTTGGGGTTTTTCCCTTTAGTTGGATAAAAAGTATCCTTGTGGCCCATGTATGCTTGAGTGAAGCTACTCCTCTAGTTAACAGCCTTAAAAATTTAAGGGCAGTCATTTTGCTGTCCAAACAATATTACCTTCTTTGACATCTCCCACTGCTTTTTGTCTGCTCTGGTTTTGCCCAGAGCATTCTGAACGTGCGGATGGTCCTCACCTATTAACTTTAAGGAGTGTTCTGAAGAATAAAGTGTAGAGCTTGAGGGGTAGGAGACTGGCTCTTGGATTCCTGTTGAGGTTCTCATATTTCACAGAGATCCTGGAATGACTGCTACAGCAATTTGCATGGGATATACCTCTGCTATTCTCTTGCCCCTCTATTTTCCCTACACTTCTTGAAATTATCTCGTCCCCTCCCCTAAACATCCTGTAAATAATCCTGTGTGATCCAAAATAGCCTTCTTCTTGAATCCCAGCCAGGAATTCCCCAACACCCTATAGTATCAAAGGTGATCTCAAGAGCTGCTTCCCGTGACTCACTGGGATGGGTTTCACACCTAGTGGCTCCTTCTGGAAGTGTCCTGGACAAGAAATTTGTTCCTCAGAAGTGGTGAATTTGGGTTCCCACGTTCCATTGGGCAATGCTGTGCTCCTCTGTTGTGCAGGTGGGGACTTGGATGGGCTGTTGGACTCTCTTATGGGTTTAGGAGTAGCTCAGCCACTGTTATTTGATCTTCCTTGTGCAGTTGTCTCTGAGCCTCTTTGTGCGTGTGCAGAGTAGCTTTTACCACATAATCTAACGTAATTAAATTTCCCTTGCTTTCTGAAGGACAGCTTGTTCCTGCTGAAGGTAACAGATTAACAATCTGTGGCAACAGTTTCTGAACAAAGGCCTTACTTGCCTTCTTTCTCAGCAGAGTTGACTCCTTCAAATCCATCCCTTTTCGATGGGATTTGATGGTGCTTCTCTGTAGATGGATGTGTTTCATTCTTGTTTAAATTGAAGATTTATCTGATATCCTTTCTTACAGAGGAGAATGCTGAACCAGATTTGGATGATAATGAAGATGAGGAGGAGACAGCAGTAGAAATTGAGGCTGAACCAGAAGTTGAGCAAGAGGCTCCTGCACCACCTCCCAGTAAGAAAAGAAGAGGAAGACCACCAGGCAAAGCTGCCGCGCAATCAAAACAATCCCAGCGTAAGTCACTAATTGGAGCTTACCTTACCCTGCTTGCTTGAACACCTTTTTCCTTGGATTTGGCTGTTCTTGTAGGTGTGATCCCTTCAAATGAGATTATTTTAAAAGTAGGTAACTGTTGTTGTCTCTGCATTGCTAAGAACTCACCTTGAAATTTGTTGTAAGGGTTTTCTGGTCATGAGGGAACATGGCCTCTTCAGGCCATGCTAAGACAAAAAGGACTTTTTGTCTTACTTTTTGTTTAGTGTTGTTTCATTTCACAGTTGTGCAAACTGCTCACTTCTTTTTGTACCAGTTATGGTGTCTCTGCTGACATATAGTCCATGGGAAAACAGCTGTCAGTAAAAACATCATGGTGTTCTCAACAGGCTAGCTTTTGCAGGTGTTGCCACAAATGAACTTTCTTCAAGCTGTTAGCCCTGAGCAAGGTGCAGGTGTTGTTTCAACTCCCCAGGGATGTCCTTAAGAATAGACATTGTAACTGTGCAAAGTGGAAGTAAATAAATTTCAGGCTCAAAGTAGGACAGGAAATTAGTTCCTTTAAAGTGGTGGTGGCTTCCTCAGTGGCTTGACTGTCTGCTCTGTTTTCTCTCTGGAATTACTTTGTGGAAGCATTTAATGCTGAATTTGTCGTCACTAAATTCCACTGAAGTTTAAGTTTGGTCTTAAGCCCATATATTGATATGGGGTTTGGTTTCATTCATTATTCTACAAAATCCATCATTTGAAAAATGTTTTAGTATGAAAATGCACACTGGAACTGTTGTACTGGGAGTCCATCTTCATAAAAGGGCAAGAAAATAGATGCCTGATGCTTGGGTGAGTGAGGTGGATTGAATTGCTCCCCACTGATGTGGCAGTGATTGCTGTGGGCCTGACCTTCCCTTGCCGTGGAATAGCCTTAAGGATCTACCAAAGAGCTGCTTGAGGCATGCAGGCTGGCTCTGGAAACAGTAAAATAATCTGTTTCTCCCCACCTCCTCCTTTGTTTTGCCCTTCCAGCTGCAGCAATCATTCAGGTTGAAGACCAGAACACTGGTGAAATTGAGAATATTATAGTAGAAGTGAAGAAAGAACCTGATGCAGAAGCAGCAGAGGAAGAGGAGGAAGCTCAGCCTGCTGTAGTGGAAGCTCCCAATGGAGACCTCACCCCTGAGATGATTCTCAGCATGATGGACCGGTGATGGAGGAAGACCACGTTGGCTGACTGAACTGGCCTGGGCTGTGTTTAAGCGGCTCAAATCTATTTTTTTCCTTTTATCTTTTTTCTTGGCTTTGGGAAATGCATCATTTTAGACCATTTTACCAAACATACTGGGAAATAAAACGATGTTAGAATGTGATTTAACTAGAACTTGCTGTTTTATGTTAGCATTACAGGATCATGGAACATTAGGAAATATTTTGGAGTCCTTGAGGGTTTCCTCTGAGATGCTTGGTTTAGTTTTGCTCTGAACTGCATTGTAAAGCTGGTCCAAGGGCCGTGTTTACATGCACCAAGTTTTAATATACAAAAGTGGAAGCCTTGACTAGAGTATGTGGAAAACCATACTTGCCCTTCCAGTTCCCAGAGTCCTTGAGCCTCTTCTCTCAGTAGTGTTTTTAACTGTAAATGCAGACTTGGGAGGGTTCTAGACTTTTGAAATGTTTTTTTGGTTGGTTTTTTGTTTTTTTGTTTTTGCTTTCTCCCACTGAGTAGCTCCGGTTCTCCAAGTCAGCTGCACATGGTAGTTTTGGCATGCTCCAACTGGTTTCTGTCCTTAATATGCTTTGCTTCCTGCAAAGCATTTCTGTAATGGTCAAGCTTGTAAATAACTTTTTTTTTTTACATTTTAATCTTTTTCCATTAATTAAGAGGTATGCAAAAATGCAGTTTAAAGAAACCCCAATATTCTAATTCCTTTCAAACTAAGTTACAAGAGAATTGATAGAGTGTAAATGTTGGAAAAGCTGTTGATAAGGTAGAGAAGAGATGTACCCAGACTATTGCTTGCAGAAGAAGAGAAATCCACATGTGAAATCTGGTTTTGAAGCACAAAAAAATTGTATTTTATAGAATATTAGACTGGCTTGGGTTAGAAGGCATTTACAGACCAGCTAGTTCTACCCCCTGCCATGGGCAGGGGCACCTTTCACTAGACCAGCTTCCTCTGAGCTCTGTCCAACCTGGCCTTGAACACTTCCAGGGATGGGGCAGCAACAGTTTCTCTGGACAACCTGTGCCAGAGCCTCACCACCCTCACAAGGTAGAATTTCTTCCTAACAGCCCATCTAACCCTGCCCTCTGTCAGTTTAAAGCCATTTCCTTTTGTCCTGTCTCTCCATTCCCTTGCCAAAAGTCCCTCTCCAGCATTCTTGTATGCTCCCTGCAGGTGCTGTAAGGCCATTAATTAGGTCATCCCAAAACCTTCTCTTCTCCAGGCTGAGTATCTCCAGCTGTCTTTCCTCATAGGAATGGTGCTCCATCCTTCAAATCATGTTTGTGGCCTCCTCTGGGCTCGCTCTGACAGTTCAATGTCCTTGTCCCAGAGCTGGAATCAGCACTGCAGGTGGGGTCTCACCTGAGGGGAGCAGAGGGGCAGAATTCCCCCCTTCCTGCTGCCCACAGGGCTTTGTACAAACACAGCCCAGCACACGCGGCTGGGGCATGTCCAGTCTCCCCCACCAGCTCCCCCAAGTCCTTCTCCCCAGGGCTGCACTGGATCTGTTCATTCCCAACCTGGATTGATCCCAAATGTCCCAGCCCAGGTGTCCCACCTTGCACTGGGTCTTGTTAAGCCTCATGAGATTCCCATGGGCCACTTCTCGAGCTTGTCCAGGTCTCTCTGGATGGCCCTGTCCTTCAGGTGTGTCACTGCACCCTAAGCTTGGTGTTACCAAACCTGCATCTGAGGGTGCACTCGACCCCTTCATCCATGCCATTAATGGTGATACTGAATAACACTGGTCCCAGTATGGACCCCTGAGGGGCATCTGCTGTCCATCCAGAGTCTGAGCCATTGACCACTGCCCTCTGGATGTGACCATCCAACCAATTTGAAACATATAATTAACCTTTTTGAGTTATAATTTCATGAATACATTTTCTTTGCTCTATCTTGTAGTTGTATTTTGTGTTTATGAATCCTATGTTAAAACAAAAGTGGTGATTTATAAGTGGGTCACTGCAGCCCTCAACCTGGGCCAGGAAATTTTATTAATAGGTCAGTAATTCTACAATTTTTGAATCTCTGATAAAGACAAAAAAAGGAATAATGTGAAATACAAATGATGCCTGTATATGAAAATGTCACATGTTAAAATATGTAAGCTTTTTATAGAGCCTCAGTCTTGCTGATTTCAAACAAATTTTTCTTCTATGTATCGCTTTTAAGAGAGCTATCAGTTTAGCTATCAGACTCTAGGTTGATGCATTTTTGTACTTAGCTGTACTGTGTGATATTTTTCATTATTTTAGGAAGCCAACATGGGAAAAAAATACTGTTATAAAATATGTAATGGGGTTTGAAAGCTGGGAAGGAGAATATACTGCTGTACAGCTAATAAATAATAACGGATTAACACGTGTGCTCGCTGGCTGCTTTCTTTGTGTACATCAACGGTGCGACCTGGCAGCTCCCTCCAGATGGAAAAGCTGCTCTGCCCAGAGGGATGCTGTCAGCAGGGACCAGCTCCTTTCTCGCTCCAGGTGTTCCCTCTGCCCCAAGCCAAGTGCAAGGTACCCATCCATGACCTTAAATCACGGTGTGCTACCCTGTGTGTAGAGGAGGGAGGATGTAAAATGCAAATGTTGGCGTTCACAGCTTGAGCTTGGAGTAACATGGGAGTAGTTACTTGTTTGTTTTGACTGTGATTTTAAATGGTTATAGCTGATGGTTTAGTTAACAGGAATATCGTTTCCATTTCTTTCTGAAAAATGGGATTGGTACTTGGGTGGGGTTTCTGTGTGTGTTTTTCAGTTACCTCTGACAGCAGTTTAGGGTGCCAGCTGTGGGCAGTGACTGCAGGTTCAGGATAGAACCTCCTACTGCTGGTACAGGAGTCACTGCAGATGACACTGCTTAGGAGACTGTAACCAAGCACAAGAGTTGCTAGTTCTGGTTTTCACTAGGTGTGTGTGGTGACTTGTTATCCCTGGTCTTGAGAGATGGACTTGTCAGGGAAAGCCTGTCTGGAGGTGGAAGCTTGGAGTCCTGAGCAGGCTGGAGGCTTGTTGCAGCAGGTGGGAGAGGTTGTGTAAGGGCTGCTTCTGTGAGAAGTCAGGTCTGGCTGAGAAATGGGTAAATCCTCAAGTGCTTTCCCAGCTGGGCAAGGAGCTTGTGTACTCAGAAGCCAAAGATGTTTCAGTCTGAGGCAATGCTGAGGTGGCTTTACATAAGCCTGGAGCTAGGGAGGCTTTGTGGTGTGTGGGAAAACCAAAGGTGTCCCTGGGATCTCTAAGGAGAACCACCATCATCTCTTAAACCCTGTGGCTCAACCCAGTGCTGACAAGTGGGGTGTGAAGGATGGGGCAGTGGCTTTGTTTTAGGTGGTGGTGGCCCAAGGAGGTGTCACACTTGCTCCAGCAGAGACCTCTCTTGTTCTGTGTGAGTGTTCATGTGCAGCAGCTTGTGCTGTTGTACCCAGGCCTGGGTGACACCAAAGCAGGTACTCCAGCTCTCCTGGAATTCAGAAGAGCTGAAGGAGGTGGCTGTATGTGAACAGCTTATTGGGAGGCTGAAAGGAAGAGAGCCTGAGAGGTTCTGTTTGCCCAAAGACCAAAGGTGTGGTTGGTGCCGAGTGGCCTCTGGCATGTTCATCTGAGGAAACCCCGCTTCATGAAGGGTTGTGGGCTGTGACCATGTGCTGACCTCATGCTCTCTCCTTTAAGCCCTGTGACCTTCATGTGCCCACCCCTGAGGTGGCACTGTCGGGGCCCAGGTGAGCACCACCACCCCAAGAGTCTGTGGCTGACAGCTCAGCCAGGGGATGGGTGGCTCTGGGGCAGGGCAGGGGGGAACCTCACTGTCAGCCAAGCCCAGCCAGCCCCTCCCACCGGACACAGGTGCTGGCAGTCCGAGAGGCTGGGAGATGTGCGACATCCAGGCTCTGGCAGGTACCTGCCACAGGCACCATCACCCTGCTGAGATGCCCTTACAATTGCCTCTTCCAGTGCCAGTGTTCCTGGAGCTCTAGGCTCCACAGCTCTCTGAAGCCTTAGCCTGAGGCACAGGGAAGCTCGTTGCTGGGGCTGAGATGCCTGTTCCAATGGGGGAATCCAGATCAGAAAGGAGTAGGAGCAGCAATGTTGGGGCCTTGCCATGATTGTCTTGGCAGGCCTTTTCCAACTCCAGTGTTCCTGGTGCTCTTGGCTCTCTGGCTCTCAGCTCTAACCCTAAGCATAGCCCTAGCCCTTAACCCAGATCTGAGGAGCGATTTCTGAGCAACTTTTTTATTGTGAACTGATTTTAGAACTCTCTTCACAGACCCCAGTAGAGGTTTTGTGAGGATGGAAGCTGTCACCCTGTGTCCATCCTCCTTTTCTCAGCCTGGCATGTTACCTTGTGATCTGCTCAGTTGACCTGGTTTCTCTGTGCTTGCTCAGTCAATGGTCCTGTTATGCAGGCTGGGATTTATTTGATTTGAGCTCAGGCTCGTGCCTTGGGCAGGAATCTCTGCTTGTGCCTCTTGCAGGCTTCTGGTTTGTCCTTGGAGGAGCAGTTCTGGAGAGATGCAGAGCAATATCCCAGCCTAATGCTGAGGACACACATCCAGGGCAGCATCCAAAGCCTGAACAGGGACAGAACAATTCTGCTCAACCCACAAGCTGTTATCAGTACTGGAAAAGCTGGGTCTTGGGCTCTGAGTGGAAAGCCAGGGCTGGGATGGATCCAAGGAGCATCACTGTGCCAATGACTTGGCCTGGCTGCTATCCCTGCTGCTCGGGCTGCTGATCTGTGCTGGACACAGAGGAGGTGTGTTGCTCCAGATACCCTGATGTGCCTGGGCCTGCACAGAGGCAGGGAACACTTGTGCACATGGATCTCTGGCCCACTCCTGGAGTACAGGTCCTGCTGCACTGGTACTCAGAATGTTCCAGCATGTGGGAACCAGTATTTTGGGGAATGAACCTTGGATGCCAGCTTGCCTGGAGCTTCTGTGTGCTTCTAGTCTTCCACAGAAGCCATTCTGATGCGTGAAAGGGACAGCTGCTCCCTCTGTGTCCTGAATATATATCCTTGCATGACAAAGCTGGGAGATGGTGCCCTTTTGAAAAGTTCAGATACCAATAGCCTGGCCTCTTTTCATCCTGGAAAAAACATGGATCCATCCAGGACTGCTGCTGGTGGCCGCTGACTCCACTGGAGCGGTGAACACTGTTCTCTTCATCCTCCTGGTGCTCGTCCACCTGCTGACGTAGCTCAGGCGGCTCAAGGAGGTGCCTTGGCAGAGGTTGGTCTTTGCCCTGAGCCGGGTTCTCCCCAGTCACCTCCTTGAAAAGAGCTTTGTGCTGTGGTTGGGCTCTGTGAAGACACTGTCCCTACAGGGAGAGAATTCCTGCCTTTGCCTTCACACACGAGGTGGTTTCAGAAGCACCGTGGCCCCGAGTGCATGTGGTGGGAGGGCAGAGTCACCCATCCCTTCCAGGGACCACCTTCTCCTGAGTCATTCGACCTCTGAGAAAGCTTGGCGAGCTCCTGGTTGGCAGATTGGAGCCTGGAGCTTGGAAGTTTGTCAGAAAGGGGCAATTTAGGGGAAGAAGGCAGCTGCTGTCACCCTCCATCCTGATGGATACTGGTCCCAGAGACCCAGGCTGCTGGCTGAGAGCAGCTTTGCCTCTCCCTCAGCACCTCTCCTGAGTCCCTAATGGGGCCAAGCTGAGCCAACGGGGAAATCCTGAGTCCAGGGAAGCTCTGCAGCATGTCATGGGACACAGTAGTGCTTCCTGGTCCAAAACCTTCCTGCATGAGTGGAGTGGTTGATATGCTCCAAGGAGGTCGCTTGGCTTTTGCCTCTCGCCCTTGCTGCGGGACAGCAGTTTCGTCACTTTGGCAGGACACCTGGGGCATTTCTCTTGTGCCCTTCCTTCAGCATCCTGCCACGGGCACCAGCATCCATCCTCCAGAGAGCAGCCTGCAGCAGGCACTAGCACCCATCTCCATTAGCTCCCCTTGCAGATTCCCAGTGCAAGGTGATGGAGCTGGGCTGATTGTCCAGTGCTGGGAAGGGTAGACTTACCCTTACCCCACTCACCAGCCATCTTCAGGCGGAAATGTGTCCCCATGAAGCACCTCGGGAGATAGGGGGAGGTCACGGATCCTCAGCCCTGGAAGGCTGGAACTATGGGGAGATGCTCCGTGCCGGGAGGGGTGTCCTGCTCACCCAGGGGAAGCCACACGGGAGCAGAAGGGTGCAGGGCAGTGACGCCCTCTCCTCCCGGCGGGGCCGGTGGGCCGTGGGCACCGTCGCTTTCATTTCGCTTCTCTTGCTCAGGCGGTAAATCTCGCCTGACGGGGCAGGAAGAGGCACCGGGAGGGGGAGGAGGCACCGAGGCGGCGGCGCTGCCGGTTGGGAACCTCAGCGCTTCCTCCCGGCAGGGTGCCCTTCCCACGGCGCCCAAGGATGCTGCCCTGACACCCGCATCCCCGGGCAGGTGACCCCGTGGTCCCAACCATGGCTGCATCCCCTGGAGGGATCCCCACTGAGCTGCAAGGTAAGCATCGCCCGCCACCGCGCTGCCGGGGCATCGCTGCCACATGGAATCCGCCCGGACGGGGCCTGCTTGGCCCAAATTTGCCTCGCTGGGCTTGGCAGAGTCACTTTTGGCTCCCTCAGCTGCAACAGCTGAGGTTCAGGGGGGCCCATGCGGTGTCTAGGGGTTCCTCTTGTCCGTAAAACTCATTTGCCTGAGGATGGACCTTGGACCAAGAGCATCCCCAGATAACCTGGCTCTCCAAGGATGGGATTCTGCATGGCTCAAGCTGCCAGATTTGTGGGTGCAGCTTGGTGCTGCTCAGTCCCATGGGCTTGGGTTCCTCTGGCCAGCTGGGGGTCCCTGGCAGCTGCCCAGGAAGGCACAGCCTGCAGCTCAGTGTGGGAGTGAAGTACCACTGCTCACAGCCTTCTCTTGGCTGACTGAAAAAGCAAAAGGCCACAGACATCTCAGGGTCCTTCAGCCTCCTCAGCCCCACCGAGGCTTGCAGTGAGGTGAGAAGGAGCTGGGTCACCGTGTCCCCACAGCCTCAGATCCCAGCTCTACCAGGGTGGGTCTCTGGGGACATGTGGCTCAAGCCACTGGACCCAGTGGGCTTGATGTCATTGTGAAAGCCTGGTTTGCTCTGCACAGTGATGGACAGCTGTGGTTTTGGTCCTGTTTATCCCAGCGAGAGGCATGAATCAGGAAGGCACAGAGGTGGTGCTCAAGGCAGGAGTGATGCTCACACTGGCCCACTGAACTTGGGGAGTCTGGCTGCTCTGTGGGGAGGAAGGACTTGGGTGACCAGCTGCTCCCTAGTGGTAAATATGGAAAGGAAGGAAGAGAAATCAGGGCTCTCTTATCACTCAGTGCCACCTCCCAGTGG